AAAAAATGGGGATATCAGGGTCTGCGTGGATTTTAAGGTGACCTTAAACCAAGTGTTGCGTCAGGATATTTATTCTCTCACAAATATAAATGACCTTTTAGCAAACTTGGATGGGGGCTCTGTATTTTGTATCCTCGATTTGTTGGGTGCCTATCAACAATTTTCTGTGGATACCTCTTCTCGGGAACTTTTGACCATTAACACGAATTTTGGGTTAGATACCGTCAAACGGGGTGACTCTGGACTACGGGTTGACTTGGGACACTTGGGCGCGCGCTTCCATAAAAATTGGCAACAGGGGTGAGCAAGGTGGGAGGTCAACATAAATATTCTGGGGATTAGCATACACTTTGAGGTCTTTAATACACCTAATGCGGGCGGCACCGGGTGAGTCTTTACAGCGACAAAAAATTTGTTTTCAAAGTATAGAGAATCGGTGTTTTTTCAAACCGCTACAATTGTTGTCTGTAAATATATCAAGGTAAGTGATGACATGTATGTTTTATTTATTTTTTTGTCCGCTAATATGTTGTTAAAGATGTAATAAGGTCGTTTTTGCTCAGAAATTTTTATTTATTTTTTTGTGATAGAAAATCTGATTGAATGCACTTTTTAGGGTGACTCGGGACATGCCTCGTAAATATGTTAGGAGGCTTGGCGCAAGGCCATATCAAAATTACGACAAAAAAAGACTTGAAATGGCCGTTAGGGAAAGGTTAGCGAAACAAACAAGTTATAGAGAGTTAGAGGAACGGTATGGGGTATCCAGAAATACCATTAATCAGCATGTCATCAAACAAAATTTAAAAAAACCTGGGGGTCAATTGGCCTTAGCTGAAGCAGACGAAAAAAAAATAGTGAATTCTTTGTTGTGTGTTGCCGATTGGGGATTTCCCTTAGAACCAATGGATATACGGATTTTGGTAAAACAATACTATGACAGAATGGGTGTAAACATAAAAAGATTTACAAATAATATGCCAGGGCCGGACTGGATGAAATCATTTTTATTGCGCCACAAAAATAATTTGGCTTTAAGACTTTCCGAAAACATTAAACGAGCAAGGGCTGCAGTTGACAGGCAAGCAATAAATGTCTATTTTGATGAACTAAACTTATCTCTAGAAAACATTCCTCTTGCGAACATCGTGAACTATGATGAGACAAACTTCACGGACGATCCGGGCCGTCAGCGTGTCGTTATTCGCAGAAGCAACAAACATGCAGACCGTATTCTTGATTCCAGTAAAACATCAACATCAGTCATGTTTGCAATTAGTGGATCTGGTGTAATGTTGCCGCCATACGTGGTGTTCAAATCAGAACATCTCTATGAAAACTGGATAAGAAATGGACCACAGGGTTCTAGATATGGAAATACAAAAAGTGGATGGTTCGATTCAAATCAATTTGAACAGTGGTTTTTGACTATAGCATTAGGCTACTTCCGAAGACTTGAGGGGCCTAAGGTTGTAATAGGCGATAACCTGAGTAGCCACATCTCCCAAAATGTCATCATGGAATGTCAAAAAAATAATATCAGATTCGTTTTGCTACCTCCCAATAGCACCCACCTTACACAACCTCTGGATACAGCATTTTTTAAACCACTCAAGCAATCGTGGAGAAAAATTTTGTTAGAGTGGAAGAAAAAAAATAAAGGAGTACTCCCAAAACCTGAGTTTCCAGGCTTATTAAACAAAGCTTTGGATAATATTGGAGACAAGCTAGAAGACAACATAAAGGCTGGATTTCGTTGTTGTGGTCTTATTCCACTCGACAGGGATCAGGTCTTGAAACGTCTACCCCCAGAGCCTGTTCGAGAAGATGAGGGCCAACTAGCTTGGACCGAAACGCTCACAGACTTTTTAAAGAACCAGCGAACTCCAACAAACCCAGCAAAGAAAGGTAAAGGAAAGAAAATTCTAGTAACACCCGGTAGAAGTGTGACATGTGAAAGAAGTTCTGACTCCGATTCTGACAATAGTGAAATGGAGATGGAATTAAATAGAAGTGAATCTGATGATAATGGGAGCATACAAGACATAGAGTCTGAGGGAGAAGAAAGAAATCAAAATGAAGATGTGGAAAACCTGGAAGAAGAGCCAGAGGAAGTGACTGATTTGCACATTGAAGATTTTGCAATTGTAAAATTTACAGACGGAAAGTTTTCGAAAAATTTTGTGGGAAAAATTTTAGACAAATCTGGTGACCAAATAAGAATCACTTTTTTAAGAGAACATTCGAAAATAGAAAATGGCTTTGCTTTTCCAATAGTTCCCGATGAATCCACAGTAAACATTTCCCAGGTTTTGAAAATACTTCCAAGACCTGTGGAACTGCGAAGAGGTGCAGTTAAATTTCCATTCCAAATAAATTTGAAAAATTAGGTAGACCCATTATTGTTATCGAAAGAAATGACCTTTTTTTTTATAATTTCTTGTGTAGAAATTTTTTTATTTTGTTCAAAAATCAATAAAAATAATGTTTACTTTTTTAAAAATTTCTATTTTTGTCCCGTCTCACTCCAGAAACGCCTTACAATGGTTTCTAGTGCTAAATAAGTGCTTGTCCCTAGTCACCCCGAAAACGGGGTGAAACGGGACAATTTTCAAAATTTAAAAAAAAATATTTAAGATTTTCGAAAAAATATTATTTTTAGCATACGTGTTCCCAAAATATGTAGAAACATGTAGCCACCTTAAAATTGCCATTTACTAATTCTGGTCATGAAATATTCACAAAAAAGTGTCAAATCCGTCCTTAGTCACCCCGTTTGACGGTACTCTCGGCTAACTTATGGGATTACCAGTGCCCCAGCAATTTTTCGAATGACTATGGATAAAATTTTAAGTGGTTTGAATGATGTGATTTGTTTTGGATGACACTTTGGTCATGGGTCATTTAAGGCGTTGTAGAGCACTTGAAAATATATCACTTCTTCAATGTTATAATGTTCGATTTATTGTCTACATTTGTTCTGCAACAATACAATCTGGCTACACTGCAGCCACGCGTTGCGCGCGCATGTCATTTTTCATTACTTTCTTACTTGTATTTATTACAATTAAGCTCTCTTTTTCTATTTCTGCGAGACACGTCAATTTCGGAAGCGGATGATGTTGCTGATTGTTGCTTGTTCAGGGAAAAACCTTGATATAGACAATAAAGGCCGAAACCCACTAGCAACACGCCACGTCATGCTTCGCCACGCCACGCCATGTGACGAAAATGTATCCGTATATACTTCCATTTATTTATATGTGCCACGTACACACTTGCCATACGCGATACCACGCCATGGCACGTCACGCCATCCGTTCATTTGCACACAAACTGTCCCACGTGAACCTCTGTCACATGGCGTGGGTAGGCGTGGCGTGTTGCTAGTGAGTTTCGGCCTTAAGTATCCATTAAAGAGAAGGCTTCCTCAAAGCCTACCCGAATTTCAGCAAGATGTCTATCGCGATAATCCTGTTGATCCCGGAGTGACAAGTGTTGGTACGGATTTGAAGTTTAGAACCCCAGGACGTTGATCTAATAGGATTCCCAAACCCATAAATAAATTGGATCTATTAAGACCGAAACCCACTAGCAACACGCCACGCCACACCACGCCATGTGACACAGGTTCACGTGGGACAGTTTGTATGCAAATAGACCGATAGCGTGGCGTGGTATCGCGTATGGCAAGTGTGTACGCGGCACATATAAATAAATGGAAGAATATACGCATACATTTTCGTCACATGGCGTGGCGTGGCGTGGCGTGTTGCTAGTGGGTTTCGGCCTTTAGTCTTACTTTTTTTTTGAGAGAGAAGAAGGCCTTTAAATAAAGTCCTGCGTCCAGTAAACATTTTATTGTTTTATTGTCAAAACATTAAGTAAATACATAGCAAATCTTATTGGCAATTTATTATCTCTTGGTTAGTCTAAGAAGATAAAGAATGAACTTGATTGTAATTTACTCAATCAGCGACAATTAATTTGATTAATATCATGAAATCAATAATTGAATTTATCAAGGAAACGTTTCTTTTATGCAAAAGAAACTCTTGTTCACATTAGTAAATGATATTAACTACAAATTAATGACCTCAAAGCATATTTGCATTATTCATTACGAACCTTTTTTTGTATTGGTAAAAGAAAAAAAAAATGCAAATATTTACGTTCTAAGTACATAATAGGAATGCATTTCTTCAGTTTGATATTCAGCTTCAAAGATGAAAAATCAAGAATCAGCAACAAAAAGTGGTAATGTTATAAAGCCTGATTGAAAAATTAATAATTGAAAAGTCTGATTTCAGTTTACTATAGTATAATGCCGCTTTATCGTAAGGCTCTCAGCCTAATTAGTTTCAAATATACTTTATATTTATATTATATTATTATAATTGTGTGGACTCTTGGAATAGGCGCTTACGCTTATTTGGTGTTGAGAGACTTTTCGTATCAAAGTGTCGTTACTTTTGGGCCAATTTTATCGGTATTAGTTTATGTAAGTTGTCCTATATAAAGTTTTTAATATGCAGCTAATTTATTTCGATTTTAGATAACTTTCCAATTATCAGTCGCACTGCATTTTCTGATGTTCATTAGACCCAAAATAGACATTCTACTATTTTCAGTAGAGTTAAACCTCAAGTTCTTTTCTACAGCAGATAGAAAGAAATTGATAGAAAGATCCAATCTGGCAGACAAAATTTATATTTTCTTTATACTCGTTGTGTTATTACCTGGATCAAAATGTATGTACGACATGAAACCAATTATTGTGCTGGTTCCTAATGGTATTTGCAACCTTTTAGGTACGTAGTAAAAAACATAGGTAGGTAGGTACACAAACGTAAACTTTAATTTCAGATTCAATTCATGACAATATTTGCATGCCTACTTTTTGGATAGTGCAAATCGTCGAGATTTTTATGATATTTTCAATATTGACAATGATTTTTTACATTTATTATTGGACGGCTGTTTTAAGGATACAATTTTTAATGCTCACAAATTGTGCCTCTAAGCTTCACGAAATATCAGGTGATAAACATATCAAGGATTTGTTAGGTTTAGTTATTGAAAATCACCATAAAATTGTAAGGTAATTACTATTAGTTTGGCTTGTAGGAATTATTTGACTGAAAGCATTATATTTTCAGCAATGTTACTAAATGTTGGAAAGTTTTGTACCCAGCGTATCTATCGTCAAGCTTTGCTATATTTCTTATCTTAACCTTTCTTACTTCAGCTATTTTTTCGGTGAGTTATTTATTGAAATTATTATTAAATTTATTATTATTTTTTATTCTAAGGGCCTAAAAGAATACGTATTTGTTAGCACCTATTTGGTACTTATCGGTTGTCTAACCGTTGGATTTATTATATCTCACGCATCTCAATTAGCTGAAGATACAGTAAGAATACCTATATATAATTTACAATTAGATTTTCCAATTTGTATTTATTCTAGAATGAAAATTTCTGTCTGACTTTGTACAGTTTAAAATGGTACCATTGGGATAGAATCAATATGAAAACATTTTATATATTTTTAACTTTAGCGAACAAACCTCTATGCATGAATATTACTGGCGAAATTAAAACTAATCACGAATATTTCAAAAGTGTAAGTAGATAACCAGTGGCGGCGGTTGGATGCACTATGACTTTAAACAAATATCACAATTAGGCCCCCCTGGCAAATTGTTCAATTCAAAGAGCCAATTAGAAGCTGCGGAAGAAGAAATTTTGATTATTATCGGCTCTCGAGTCTTAATTGCCCTTAGAACAATTCTCTAGGGAATCCAGAATTGATAAAGGTTTAAATTTTGACTATTACCGGCTCTTGATTGGCTCCAGGAAAGTTTTCCAAAGAATCAAGAGCCGGCAATCAGAGGCGGATACAGGCCTTTTGAAAGGGGGGGGGGGGGAGGGGCAGTTTAAGTTAAAGTAAGCCAGATTGGGTTAGTTTGGGTTAGTTTTGGTAGCGCATTGTGCGAGATACGGTTTTTCGAAGGAATGGCCCATATATATTTGATTGAACAGTCTCTCATATATTCGGCCCAAAAATTGTGAAAATACTATCCTACTACTGATTTTGTGAACCATTCTACCTATACAGATGAAAGCTGCAAGTGAAATTTGAGGTAGGTAGGTATAGTCCAACACATACCATTTTGAAGTCACGTGATTTTTCTCTATCCTTGTTGAATACATCTCAAACAGCGGTGATAGTAAAATTGACAAAAAAATTGCTGTCTAATTATTGTTCATAAAATTCTTACCTGAAATAGAATCCGTCACTGTCATCAATTAGTTTGTCAAAGTTATTTTAGAAAATGATACAACGAACAAACACAGCTAATAATTTTGACTATATTAACCTTTTTCCAACTCAAAAAGATGCAAATAGAAAACGGGTACCCAATTCAAGTTCAGAATGTATTACAAGGGGCAGCAGAAGCGACAAAAGTGAGTCTCGCAACAATTGCAAGTATCAAAATTCTCATCTGATTGGTCAATACTACTTCAGAAACGCGTTTGTAAAATGCTAGTGGGAACATATCTTAAAATTCAATAGTAATTAACCACAAGTAGCTTTTTGTAGGTGATAGCAACGACATAATCAGCGAACATACGTTTTTTGCCACCAATATCACGTGACTTTAAAATGGTATTTGTCGGACTTTACCTACTTGGTTTCTCTGATAGTATTTTTAAAATTTTTAGAACCAAATATCGTCGCTGATCTGGCAAAGTGGCGTAAGCGCCAAAATTTCAAAATGTTTGTTGAGAGCACCAAAAGATTCCCAGTCGGTTAATCTATGATCTGGTACACAGGCGTACATCCATTCCTTCGAGGCTAATAATAAAGTCACATTTTCAATGGGCGTAAGCGTCATTAATTTAAAATCGAAATCAAACAAAGAGGCGTAAATCCATAACATGGACTTAACGCCTATCCGCTGGATCTTTTGTAAGCAGTACTGTGTGATACGCCCCAATGTTGAAAATGAACGGATTCTAGCATCAGAGAAAAAACATCGAAAATTCGAGAAGTGCAAAGGAAATAACGGATAATGACAACAGGAAAAAGGAAGTATACAAGAGTGCTTTCAGTGTTGCTGAGCCAGTTACAACCGTTTTGAAGCCAATTAGCGAGACTGGCAGTAAATATCTCCAAAATGTTCCACTGAGTGTTGTAAGACAAAACCCTCAAACAACTTCTCCAGTTTGCACAAAGTTTACAGAAAATTGTGTTGAAAGAGAACCTGAGCAATATAAATCTACTAACTAAACACGATCACGACCCCACCTATAGAGCGAGCTGTGCATTTAGAAATTGTAGAGATGAAATATGGGCAGCATGTGAAAGAAGTTCTGAGTTGCTTTGTTGGGAACATTTCATCAACAACGAAACCTGTACTGAACATGTTGACAACGTTTCTTCCGAAAATGAGGAAAATGTACCGCCAATTTTGCCTTCCAAAGGTATGAGAACTAACTTAGAGATTCGCAGAAGAAATGCTGTGGATGGAGAGCAAAGGGAAGTACCCTTTGATAAAGTGAGAAAGGGCAATAAAAAGAAGATCGCACATGACAAGAGAATAGCGGGAGAAGCTTATTTCAGTAGCACCTCTGGAAAGGCTGTATTGGCTAAAGGGATGAAACCTCGTTGTAGAATTGAAAAATGCAAGAGTTAAGTGTGCAGCATTAGTGATGTACAAAGGCAGAAAATATTCAACGCTTTTTATGGTACAAAGAGCTTACAGCAACAAAAGGAGTTTATTGTACGACACGTACAGATCAAAGCTATCAAGCGGAAAAGGACAGACAAAGAAGTTTCACGTAGGTCGAAGACATTTGAATTCCACCTTCCTAAAAGTGACGTAATGTCCGTAGTTTGTAAAACAATGTTTTTGAACACGTTGGGAATTTCAGAAAAGACAATGCGTACGGCTTTATCTAAGAGAACTGAAGAAGGGATAGTAGAGGAGGACGAAATGAAATGTTGAGAGAAAACGATGCAAAAATGATAGCTTCAGCATTAGAACACATTCAGAAATTTCCTAGAATGGAGTCACATTTTTCTAGGCAGTCCTCTTCACGAGAGTACTTACACCCTGATTTCAATGTGAAGAACATGTACTATTTTTACCAAAACGATAATATCAACCAACCACATTGTAGTTATCATACATATCTTTAAATCTTTCCTTTCGTCATCCTAAGAAGGATGAATGTGCTTTGTGCTTGTCATACAGGCAAGCTGATAAAAAAGAAAACTGGAACTCGAGGATGCTTATAATAATCATACTGCTGTTCGCAGGAAAAAGGAAGAAGCCAAGGAAACATCAAAGTTAAATTCTAGATTTCTGGCTGCTGCTGTATTTGACCTACAACAGGTCATACAGCTTCCAAAAAGTGAAGAGTGTGCCTTATTTTTTCGTCGCCGCCTCTCTTCAATCAATTTCACGATTTACAATATCGGAAATAAAGAATGCTATTCTTTCTTTTGGGATGAAACTGTAAGCGAGGGGCTAGCGAAATATCAAAATGTGTAGCAAGATATCTAAATGAGCTAGACAATCGGGGGATCAAGGAAGTCAGGTTATTTGCAGATGGCTGTAGCGGCCAAAACCGCAACACTATTTTAGGTATGATGCTATACGTAATTACAAATGCAAAAAATATAGAAAAAAATGTTCTAAACTACTTTGAAACGAAACATGGTCAGAGCGAGGGATTCTGCGCACAGCTCAATTTCTGATGCCATATTTTTAGCAGGAGATATTTTTATACCTGCTCAACAACCTCCTATTTTAAAACTAGACAGAAGAGCGTTGCCCAATAACGTAATCACAATGAGTAGTGATGATTTCTATAACTACAAGGCCCTGGCTGAAAAAGTTAGAATTCGTTCAATAAGAAAATTTGACTGTGGTGAAGATGTTGACTCGACAAAGGTCAAAGAAGTTATGGTCAAAAAACCTTAAAATACGCGTCTTTTTGTAAAAAAACAGTCATCTTGCCGAAAATTACTATATTCTCTCTTTGAAAAGAAACGCTTTGGGAGTGATGAACCAACCTTTATTAAAACTTAATAATGGTTCCATAAAATACAATGACCTAGTTCAACTTTGTGGAGGATGAACACCAGTTGTGCGAAATGAACCTTTTCAAAAAAATTCAGGGATCTTCGTCATAAAAATAGTTAGTGCTAATTTCGTTCCAGTTCGGAAATATGAATTCCTTTGAAATAGGTTGTTTAGTGTGTTTGGTTTAAATTAAAATATTTCTCGTTGATTTGAAACACTAGTTTCCTTTAATTTTCTTTAAATAACAACGGTTAGTCGCTACCGATTGTCATTAGTGCATATTACCATCCAAGGCGTATCTGACATATTGACCTAATATGAATCTGGCAGAGAGGCGTATGTCCAATTAGTGCCTTTCTTGAAACATTAGAATCAAGGTCTACCGATTTGACTATTATAGTTTTTATCTACACCCCTCAGTGTAGTTACATACATTATGAATTAATATACTATCCAATTATTTTTGGAATAATATGCACCATATTAGAAGTAAATTTATTCAATTCGTTCTCTTGTAAAATTTAGGGAATGTCGCTTACGCCATTATGTGAGATCAGCGACGATATGTTGGAGACAGCTTAACCAAATATAGACAAACTATATAGTTTTGGAATCGGAAAATTGTGCTTTTCAAGAATTAGGCAATTCAAACCACGTGACTTTCAAGATGGCGTGGCGGCCACACTTGGGCCAAAAAACACAAAAAAAAATATCTAGATTCTGCCCAATTTATTAGTTCAGGAACCTAGTCAACAAATATTTTATTAAATAATCCAAATCAAAGTTGCAAGCAAAACTCTAAGCAAAATAATTTGAAATACGCATAAAAACACATTCAAAACAAACTTGCTTGGCCGCCACGCCATATTGAATTTTCCTATCTGACAGATGGATTGAATTGCCTAATATAGAACTAAATATAAGGTATCCTATTTGAAAAAAGCTGAAAGCATGCTACATTTCACATTTCTGACATTCAATTTTTGTTTCTGATCATGGATTCTAAAAATTTAGCCAATACTGTACAACTTTTGTATTTACACCTTTCAACTACTTATAAAGGTGAAGGCTGTAGATGGGGTATCAATATATAAAGAAACACCCTGCACTTGAACAAAAACTTATTATATAAATTATAAAGTCAGAATTTGTTTATCCACTTTTTGTCAATTTGCCTTTCAACAGGAATTAGTAACGTTAATTTACCAAACTAGTACCATATTGGGACAAGTTATTCAAGTACAAATGAGTAGATTGTTGCGGAATTTATGGGTGAACCTCTACGGGTCGAGCGCAGCGAGTTCCGCAGTCATCTATTCATTAATACGTTGTTCAAGTACGATACTTACCCGACTCACACAAATGTCAGTTATTCTCATTAGTTCAAAAACTACAAGTTTTAGGTGAGTGTCTTATTTTAATAGTTCAACAGTATATTGGTGAGTAGATGGTTGCGGAACTCGCTGCGCTCGTCCCACAGAGGTCCACCCATAAGTTTCGCAATAATCCACTTATTTATACTTGAACAATAACTTATTATATAGAGTCAAAATTTGTAAGAATATTAGTAAGTATTCACTTTTTGTCAATTTGCCTCTCAACAGGAATTGGTAATGTAACTTTACCAAACTAGTAATATAATGTGACAAAGTATTCAAGTACAAATGAGTGAATTGTTGCGGAACTTATGGGTGAACCTCTGCGGGACGAGCGCAGCGAGTTCCGCAGCCATCTATTCATCAATATGTTGTTTCATTACGATATTAAACTGCGTTATTCTCATTAGTTTAAAAATTACACGTTTCAGGTAAATGGCTTACTTGAACAGTTCAACAGTATATTGGTGAGTAGATGGCTGCGGAACTCGCTGCGCTCGTCCCGCAGAGGTCCACCCATAAGTTCCGCAATAATCCACTTATTTGTACAGGGTGTTTTCTCATATATTGACACCCCACCTACAGCCTTTATTTTCACAGGTAGAAGAAAGGTGTAAATACAAAAGTTGTGTACAGTTTCGGCTGAATTTCCAGAATTCATGGTCAGAAACAAAATTTGAATGTCAGAAATGTGAAATTTTGCATGCTTCCAGCGTTTTTCAAATGGGATACCCTATATTTAGTTCTATATTCTTGGAGAGCACAATGCACAATGCTTCAATCTATATTTGATTGAGCAATTTCTCAAAAATTGTAAAAATACAGCTTTGAATGCCATTCGAAAAATTCTCTAGCAAATCCAGAGCTGATAAAATTTCAAATTTTGACTATTACCGGCTTGTGATTGGCTCCAGGAAAGTTTTTCAGAGAATCAAGAGCCGGTAATAGTTCAAATTTTGATTATCTATATGGCTCCTTTATCCATTGGATAATTTTTTTGGAGCAACTAAATACCGAATATCCGCTTTTGCATATCGCCGCCACTGTAGGTAACATACCATCATTACAATTTATCTAGTCACTGTTTCCACATACTCCACTACATTTGGATAAGGGTTTCCTTAAGAAAACAACCAAAATTAGTTCTAAAACCAAATTTATTAAAAATGTTTGAAGAAAAAACTGGTAATTTTCAGGTACCTACTCTATAACTTATTCTCCTTTTTTTTTAGATTTTAGCGGCTTTCTACACACTGGCGAATTTCCTGAGAAACTTTTCGCCAATCAAATAATTGGAAATGACTTTATAAAAGAAATATTTTCTCCAATTTAGCGTATTTGTACTAGTTTAGGAAGCCCCCTGCATGTTACCAAAGTAGTATACAAGCAATAACACATACAGAATAGTATCAAAAAAAAAAAAATGTTGTAAATTTAACAAATTATTTACAGCAAACAAATAAATATTAACAAAACACTAGATCACAAAACGAATTTATCCGTATCTTTTCCTAAGGTCGCTTCTATTGGCTTTCATTTTCGTTTTAATCCAAGGTAAGTAATACGATAATCGACTGTAAACGTCTGGAAAGCCTGGCTTTGCACATCCAGATCCGAATGATGTTATTCCAGCTAATATCCAACGTCCGTCGCGCATTGCACATTGTAGTGGACCTCCAGAATCACCCTAAAGATATAATGTGTTAAAACTACTACACATGACAAAGACTTTATAATTTAAATATAAAAAGGAAAAAGAAGTAGGTGGTGCACTTTTCATTCCGCTTACTATACCTACGCTCATTAACATAAAACAGCAAATTTTAGTGTGTTTTTCTAAGTAATTTTTCCTAATTATCTCACTAGGCTAAAAGTTTTCAGCATTAATTTTCATTTAATATAATATGTATGAAACTTTGTTGAGATTGAACAAAAATCTTTTTTGCCCTAACCACCACCTTGCATTTTAAAGACTAACCCTAACTAATGTCAAACTGAAACATTTTCTTTTAGGCCAAACACGTGCCCAAATAAACTTAATTGCCGTTGATTGAAAAATGTCTTGGACATTTCAATTAAATGCATTACGTTTCCAATTAATCAATTCGAAAAAATGCAACCCTTTCCCTTTTTCTTATTGCTGTTGTAACGTCAGAGCACCTATTCGATGTTTTTTTTTTTTTTTCAATTTAAACAAACCAGCTGTTTTATTTCGAAAATTTTACTTAACAAAGTGATAACGGTAAGGAGTTTTAAATAAACAAAATGAAAATCATACCACACATGTCCCAGTAGACCCATCCAAATGTCCAGCACACAAGTGTCCACTTCGTATGTGAACTGCATGTCCGTACTTCTTTTTGCAAACAGCGTTGTCGTGGACGGGAACTTTCGCTTCTAATAATTTCCCCGCCAAAATACCATCTTCAATGTTCCTACCCCAGCCTGTGGCCACGCAAAAATCGGTCTCGTTATGTCTTATCCTTTCAGTGGGCAGACAAACTGCTCGAATGCGCGACTTTGTACTGAACTTTACTGGTTTTGATAGTTTCATCAGCGCTGAAATAATAATTACAAATTTAATTTTCCATAATAACATGCACAATATGCATTAAAAGTTTTTTTACGTAACACGAAAATATTGTCCAATAGACGCACCCTTCTAAAGTATAGCCTTCATAACTCAAAAAGAAAAGTTTACGATCCACTTTTTGTTGGCCGTGGGCAATATGAGGTTGACCCTAATAATAATGAATGCTCTATTTTTTGGGGTGGTTACTATAACAAAAGTGTTTTGATGTTTTTATGGGGGGTTAAATGTGTGGTGGCCCATGAATGTTAGCGGTTTCTCTATGGCTGTGAGATATTTTGTAATATTACTTTAGAGAAAAGATTGATGGCTTTGTTAGGATTATTCTTTGATAATACTTAGTTCAGTTTGAAATATTTTAATTATGCTCAAGTACAAAAGTAATTAACAAAAATATATTAACAACTTCTTAAACAAATTCTTTCAATTCCTCAGAACTGTATTATAAAAGTTGGCAAAAATTCAAGAGTCTTCATACCAACCTGCTGACTTTTTGATAATCTGAACTCGTTTTTGGTCGAGTGCGTGTTGGATTTACTGAAAACCAACTCTGTGGGTAGTTTCTTCAGAAAAATCGGAAGAATATTTTTCAAATTATATAATAAATTCGCAAAATAATTTAACAACTTGTATAGGAACAAGAAAGGCCCATGGAAAAGTTAAAGTTCCAATTTTACATGAATTCAATATAAATAAAAACATCGAATTAATAATGTATAATTTTCATGATTACTTTGATGAAAGTTTAGGAATCAAAGCAATTCAAGATAATAATCTAAATATCGATTTTACAAGAATGAGTCTTTATAATGATGAAACAATTATTCCTTTTGAATTTCGAACAGATTTTGATAATCAACACTTTGAAATTTCGGCTAAAACCATTCAAATATGTCATTTCAATGCAAACATACTAGAAGGAACAGAAATTTTAACTACTCTTAGCCAAGATGATAATTTTCTTATACCATCAGCAATCGTAAAAGTTGAAAATGGAATGATTTCTTTAGAAGAAGTCCATAATTTGACAGATCATTCTATAGTGATTAATTATCATATTGATGATCTAGAACACTCATCAGCCCTTCCTTTTAATGACGATAATTTTGAAATATTTAATTTAGAGCAAATAATGCCAAAACAAAATTATGAGTATGGAACAAAATCTCTAGAATCTTTAGATGTTTTGCGTACTGATCATTTAAATACAAAAGAGCTTGCTGCACTAAAAGTTGTTACACACGCTTTTCCAAAAATCTTTTATCAACCTCATGATAAATTGACATTTACAAATCAAGTGAAATATCAGATTAAGCAAAAGATGAAATTTCAATTCATACAAAAACATATAGATACCCCTATATTCATAAAATTGAAGTTAACAAACAAATCAAAAAAATGTTAGAGGATGCTATAATTAGACCATCATGCAGTCCTTGGTCATCCCCAGTTTGGATAGTACCGAAAAAAAAAGATGCCTCCGGTATTTAAAAATGAAGAATGGTGTTAGACAATAGAGAACTTAATGAAAAGACAATTGATGATAGGTATCCTTACCCAAACATCACAGATATACTAGACAAATTAGGCCGCAGTAATTACTTTACAACCTTAGACCTGGCTTCAGGATTTCGTCAAGTAGAAATGCATCCTGATTCTATATCAAAAACGGCTTTTAATGTTGAAAATGGTCATTTTGAATTTCGAAGAATGCCATTTGGTTTGAAAAACGCACCAGCAACATTTCAAAGAGCAATGGACGATGTATTGTCTGGATTACAAAATAAAATATGCTTGGTATATATGGATTACAGAATTATATTTTCAACATCTCTACACCAACATATTAAAAACTTAAAGAAAGTTTTTGAAAGATTAGATCAATATAATTTAAAAATTCAATTAGATAAATCGGAATTTTTACGAAAAACTGTTAACAAAACCTCTGACAAATTGCTTGAAAAAAGACAGAAAAATAATACATGTCAAAGAATTTATGAAGAGTTTTGAAATTTGTAAAAATGTGTTAATGAATGATCCAATAGTACAGCATCCTGACTTCAACAAACATTTTGTGTTGACGACGGACGCATCCAATTACGCGATAGGAGCAGTATTATCGCAAGGACCCATTGGTTCCGATCTTTCAATTGCATATGCAAGTAGAACATTGAACCCAGCAGAGTGTAATTACTCTACAATTGAAAAAGAACTATTAGCGATAGTTTTGGCTACTAAATACTTTAGACCCTATGTCTTCGGAAGAAAATTTGCCATCTTATCAGACCATAAACCGTTACAATGGTTATTTAACGTAAAAGAACCGAGTTCTAAACTAGTACGTTGGCGATTGAAACTATCAGAATATGACTATGAGATTAAGTACAAAAAAGGAACTTTGAATATGAACGCAGATGCGCTATCAAGAAATCCTCCAATGCAAGTAAATGCTATTGATAAATCATATCCTGATGCAAGATTAACAAAATCAGATGAAGAATTTCAAAGAAAATTAAGAGAAATGTTAAAAGATACGCCTCTAGATAATGAAGAAATAATTAAAAAATATTTCACTACTTCAAAACCTTTAATGCCAAAACAATCTTCTGAGGAAGAGAAAGAAAAATCATTAACTGAATCACCTCAATTGATGAAAACGACAATAGAACCTAAGAAAAGTCCAAAAATTAAGATAATATCACAAAGTGATACCTCCAAAAAATAAAAAAAAAGGAAATTCCAATAGAAGAGGCTGAATCTTCAAAAATGCATCAAGAAGAAAAATTTTATCTTTCAGTAAGATCTAAACAAAGTTCTGAAGATGAAAGAACAATAACAGCGCCTTCAGAAAATGAACAAAAAATACATACATCACTTGAAGATCCAATATTAGGTGCCCCTTACACTAAGAAACATTTAAATTTGTTTCAAAATCAGACAATATTTCGATATTCCAATGATAATTCAATTCGGAAAAAAATAATCAAACCATTTCCTAATAAAAGAAGAATAATATTTTTCTTACCAAACAATCCAACATTACAACAAATAACTGATCTTGTTAAAGAATTTATGCCACCTGGTATATATTGTTTTCACTTTTTCAACAAGACGTTGGAACCAATAATAATACGAGCATTACAAACTTCATTTAATGCCAATTCTTTTACATTGTATCTTACTGCTTCGTAGAAGATATATAATGAGACTCGACAAGAAAAATTCTTCCATGAAACCAAAACGTCTTATCGAGGAGTAACGGAAAATGTATCAGCTTTGAAGAAGCGTTCTCATATTGGCAAAGATGTCCAAACATATGTGAAAGCTTGTGAAATTTGTAATAAAACTAAATATGAACGTCAACCGTATAAAATAATATTTAAACCAACACCGATTGTAGCAAAACCTTTCGAACATTTTTACATTGATACTTATATGATAAAGAAAAGTTTTTAACGATAATAGATAGCTTTTCCAAATTCGGTCAAGCTATACCGATAACAACTAAAACAGCCGTGAAAATTGCAATACAACTTTTAAAGTACTTTAGTGATCACGGAATACCTCAACGAATTACTTCGGATAACGGAGCAGAATTCAAGAATGCAATAATTACTGATTTATGTACATTGTATAAAATTGAATTTCACTATACAACTCCGAGAAACCCAACTTCAAATAGCCATATCGAAAGATTCCATTCAACGTTGCGTGAAAGCATCACAAGTCTACAACTTATAAATAAAAATAAGTCGATGAGTGAATTAATGACAATTGCTATTTTAAACTATAATAGCACAACGGAATATACACCCTTTCATACATCTGATCATGGACACTGATCTAAGATTCTCGGGGCATATTAATAACTGTATCAAAAAGGCTTTTGCCAACCTTAAACTAATATTTAACCAACGAGCCCTACTTAATGAGAATCTTAAGAAAGTGTTGTGCGATTCCATTGTCTTATCGTACTTTAGCTACTGCGACGTACTGTACGGTCCCTGTCTGCTGGTTTCCGATGCCAGAAGAATTCAGCTCATGCAGAATTCGTGTGTCAAGTTGATAGATAGTATTAGGGGCCGTGAGAGGGGTGTGAGTGCCAAGCTATGCGAAATTAAATGGCTGAGAATGAATGAAGACGCGCATTGCATAGTTTGGTTCTGTTCAACAAATTGATTTGTAAAAGATATCCTGATTATCTGTGTGATAAAATTAAGTTTTGGTATGATGCACATAACTTGAAACCAGACACAAATTTACAATAACTCCTCCCATTATGAGAGATCATTTAGCTATTAACTATCAAAAATGTACAATAAAATCCCTGCTGATTACAAAACAGCCTCTGGATTACAAGTTTAAGCAATTTGTCAAACAAAATATTAAAGTTCTTGTCTGAGCTCGCATGGTCACACTCATTGTCTCTTCGGTCTGTATATATGTGTTTAACTTTTACCTCGACCTATACTTTATTGCTTTTCACCTTTTTATATTCTCTATATTGTTGTATTTTTATATTTTTTTCTTTTTACTGGCACCCCTGCTAGTCTAATGACTGTCATTGCATTGACATACTCGATGTAATATTCTGTATTCCGTTATCTATACTCTGGTTGAGATAGGAAGTTGTGCTTCAACTCCGCCTTTTGTGATTCTTAAATATTTGCCTGTTACTTGTAAACTCTTGAATTACAATAAAGGCATTTATTATTATTATTATTATAATTATTATTATTATTGCAGTTGTGAGATAAAAATAAAGTGTGTATCGTATCCATCAGTTGTTGTAACAGGATTAGCAGCAAATACAAATACTATCATTTTTCACTTTGTACAAGAGGGTCTTAACATTTTTCCACCTTAAAAATTAATATTTGATTATAAGTAAACGAGGAACAGTTTCCAATAGATAAAAATTTTTATATACAAAGCACACGAGTAACAAACCTATTCCGTACACCTATAAATAAATGGTAAATGGATCCATTGACACTCCTAAGAGGTTGGCAAACAATTTCCTTTTTACCTTCGCCGGAAATAAATTTAAAAACATAAAGTTGCATATTTTATACATTACAGAATGTTACAGTAAATGTTAATAATGACTAGAATTTTTATGCCTATTTCCATTCAGTTATAAGTATAAATTGCCAATCAATTCCAATTAATATTTACAAAAATCCTCTAGATACCTACCCTATTAATTTGTGCCTCTTCCCAAAGTCATTCAAATTTCCGAAGAAAATCGAGATTGAGAGAAAATTAAATTTAAAATGAAATATTTCTAATAGTGCAATTATCAGGTAAACATTCAAGTTAATAGTCAAATTCTATTTCTAAATATAGTCTTGAAGGCTTTAATAGCCAATTTACCTTCACAAAGAATAAATAGTTCAATTTTCATTGGGAATCTCTAAATAGAAGCATTCCCACAAATTTTATATAATAAAATTAAAAATAAATTCTCACCAATGTCATGTTGGAAATTATGAAATCTCTCATGTAAAATGATTTTTTCCACCGGAATCCTTTCTTCAGTAAGTTCCTCCATATCTCTGTCCCAATCGCCCAGTACGGCCGTCCAGAGTGCGGCTAGTGGTAAATTGAATAAGTCACTAGAATGTATAAATGTTCAGTTTCAGAAACAAAAATGAGGTCCCCACACATTTTGTATCAATAAATAAATTTTCAATGCATAATTTTTAAGATTAATGAAAATTACTGCAGTTTCTGGAAGAAGTCTAATTAAAAACTAAGCTCATAATCACGGTAAGAACTGGCAAAGGACAAGTAAAGCTTGATTCACTAATTATACTTGTGGAACTTTTTTTTAATAATTTTAATAGGTTTTGTTCTAAAATGGGCTGCTTATACAAGAGAATAATTAAAACTTTTTTCTAAAAAGCATAGTTAGGATAATGAATGCATAATTAGTTTCAAATGTGACAGAATTTTTAAAACATGAAAAATTCTATTGAAGAACAAAATTGTGGCATAAACTTATTTCAATAAAAAAAAAATAATCAATTGATAATTTGATTAAAATTTATAGAACATAATTTATCATTGCCAAAACTTCGGAAATATAATTTCTTTTTTATCAGGGGGCTTTAAGTCAACGAATGATTTGGCTTGATGAGCTTTAATTACTTGAGCAGAAAGTTTTGTACGGATTCGGGGCTGAAGGCGGACTTGTTTAAACTGTCCCAAGGCAATTTTGATAATTGTTAAAAACCGATAAGGCTGAAATTGATTTAGGATTATCAGTAAGCAAATACTCACTTGTTTATGCAGTGCGCAGCAGTTAACAACCATTCTTGTGATATCATAACGCCACCGCACCAATGTCCTAAAAAACCAAATTGTGGATGTAAAAGCTGCAACGAAACCTGCAAACAAAAAAACAATCTAATATTTTATCAACTACAAAGCGTTTTACTTTCCACTAAAAACCACAAAACAATGAGACCACCAAGGTAGAAAACAAAACTGTCTGGGTAAACAATAAACCATAACTAAGAGGTTCTAATGGCCATAAATTCGCCATTACATATCGTAAACATGGCACGTAGAGCTTTCGATGCAGGAATTTAATTTTACTTTCCGTCACGGCAATTTGGCAATGTAATTTACTCGCTTTCAACAGTGTCAAGTTCAACTTTGTTTTTTTATGGTAAGTAGTTTCGTTACGAAATCTCTTTCTTCCGTTTTTGTAGACTGATGGGTTTTCTTGTGCATCCTTGTGGTTTATTCAATTTACTAAAATAAGCGGTAATCATACTGTTATGTAAGAGATCACGTTTACCTTTATCCAAAACAATAACTAAAAAACTATTATGAAACTAGAACTATAACACTGGGTTTAACAGTCGCACTGTCACCCTAACTGAACTGGGGTACCTGGAGAACAAGGAACAGGGGGGCTAGCGACTAACCCCAGGTTTTGTTGAATTCGGAACAGAGGGGTACGTGATTTTTAGGAAAAAATGTGAAAACATTTAGCATTTTATTCTAAACTAATTTTCAAAGTAGCTATATATTTATTTTGAAGTCCTCTATACCTTGAACAATTTCCCATATCAATTTGACGAAACTCCTTGCCTAAGCATTTTAGAAAAACTTTTCTCCTAGATTTTTGTTTTGGATTATCTTTTGCCCAGTTCTCGTTAACTTTTATGAAAAGAATGTAGGAGTTATAAGCAACTATATCAATCAAATTGAAAAAGCCACCATCAGCCATCTTCTTGTGCCTCGCCGACGACTGTACGCGTTATAAAAACGTCCGGCGAAGGTCAAATATTGTACCAATCTCAACAAATTTTATGTCTACGGGTTGTAAAATAAAAGTCCTAAACGATTTTTGAAGACAAGGTAAAAATAAGTACGTAACGCCAAAACAGGTAAACTGGGGTCATTGGTTAACCCCCCTGTTAAAAACGCCAGGCTGTAAAGAATCCTACGCTGTCGAATACCCTAGAAATTCGGATTCCTATAATAATCTAGTAAATTCTACTTTAATTGGTAAAATAGGATTATCGGGGATAATACCACGAGAGCTTCAAAATTACCGATATTTTTTCACGATTGCGTGTTTTCTATAATTTCACGAGTCCGTAGGACGAGTGAATTTGCAGAGAAAACACGCATGAGTGAAAAATTATCTGCTTCATTTTAAAGCTCAAGTGGTATTTAGAGGATTATTATTTCACGTATGAGAATATGGAAACAAATATGTATTAAACGATTTAAACATCTTAACAATCAATACAAATAAATGGTTGCTATCAGGAACCGTTTGTTTGTATCAAAAATTAGCATGACAACCATGTATACAATAACATGGGAGAATTATCGAATGTAATACCACAAGAGGTTTCAGGATTACCGAATAATACTTTTACCTGTCACGAAACGCGTTACGCAGCAACACCACGACTCCAAAGGAGAAGTGGTGTTGCTGGTAACGCGTTGAGTGTCAGGTAAAAGTATTAAGTAATCCTGAAATATCGAGTGGTATTCAAAAGGTTATACAACGAACTAAATTTAATACATTGAAATTTAAAAAAAAAAAAGTTTATAATAGAATTTGCTATCAATGCCACCAAGCGCGATAATCCCAAAAGGCTTATCACTTTTTAAGCCTCTCGTGTCATATGGGAATAATGTACAGTGAGTTGTAATTCTCTATAGTTAAACAAATAGAAAAGAGAATTTTCGCTGTAATTCTGAAAATCATCACTTGTCTTATGGGATTTCTAACACATCGTGTGTATTCTAGATTTTACAGGAATGGATTTAGGGATATATAAAGGCCGCTATTGCTTTGTAGTTTTGAGTTAAAGTTTGACTGTGATACGAGTTAAATAGTGATTATTGTTGTAAAGAGTTTAATTGTTGAGTTAGTTATTAAAGTAATTAGTGTCAGAGTGTATTGATACGTGGAATAAATTATTGCTGTGTTAATTGCACTTTGATTTTTGGAATAAACGAAACAAACCCAAGATTTCTGTCAAGCGACCCAGAGCCATGACAATACATTCAAGCTTAACTAGCCACAAAACTGAATCACAACCCACTGTTTTTCTATCGACTTGTGTAACTGTTTATCCGACTTAGGGCAGGTATTATAAAACTGCTTTGACAGTTAACTTTTTGAATTACGTGTATTTTCAGAAGTTAACTTTAAGTTAACTCTCAAAGTAGTTTTATAATACCCGCCCTTAGGCATTCATGTTTAATTTATCACTGATATTTTTCTTTAATGGCTGACTCTGTTTCATATAGCGTCGTTGCTTCTAGAATTATTTAGATAAAACTCTTTCCTGCATTCGGAAATAGCTGGACCATAGTGCGGTAATAGTTATTTACCTAACTAGTGCGGAGAGAGGTACTTTTCCGCACAAGCCGTCGAGGGTGGAAAAGACATTTTCTGCAAGAGTTAGGTACAATGTTTTTCCTACGAGTGTTTTTGTCCATGTTATCTATCAAAAATTGATTAAAAGATCTGTGTAAGATCTAGGTTTTCTGAATGAAAAATAATACCTTTAGATATTAATTTGATTTGAAGTAAAAAATAGTACCCTATATCTTGAATTAAGCGTATAAGTAAAAATCGTGCGGAAAAGTAGAAATCGTGCGGAAAAGTAAAAAAATCGTGCGGAAAAGTAAAAAAATCGTGCGGAAAAGTAAAAAAATCGTGCGGAAAAGTAAAATCGTGCGGAAAAGTAAAATCATGCAGAAAAGTTAAATCGTACAAAACAGTGAAATCATGCGAAAAGTGAAATCGTGCGGAAAAGTGCAACTAGGTTTTCTGAATGAAAAATAAGACCTATAGATATTGATTTTATTCCAAGGAAAGTGAAAAAATCGTGCGGAAAAGAGAAATCGTACGGAAAAGTACAACTTTAGGTTTTCTGAATGAGAAATAAGAGCTATAATAGATATTGATTTGATTTCAAGTAAAAAAAGGGACCTATCTTGAATTTACATATTGTGCCTTAAAGTGAAAATCGTGCGGAAAAGTGAAAATCGTGCGGAAAAGTAAAAAAATCGTGCGGAAAAGTAAAATCGTGCGGAAAAGTACAACTTCAGGTTTTCTCAATGAAAAATAATACCTACCTACAGATATTAGTTTTATTTGAAGTAAAAAATAGTATGTACCTATATCTTGGATTAAAATATTTTGCCTTAAAGTATATATAAATCGTGCATATAAGTAAAAATCGTGCGGAAAAGTAAAAATCATGCGGAAAAGTGAAAATCGTGCGGAAAAGTGAAAAAAATCGTGCGGAAAAGTAAAATCGTGTAAAAAAGTAACTTCTCCGCACGCTCGTAGGAAATAGCTATTTAACTAACAAGTGCGGAAAAATATTTTCCGCAAGTGTTAGGTACAATATTTTTCCTACAGGCGAAAAAATGTAAAATTTTTCTTTTTTTTTTGACATATCAGTGCGGTAAAATTTTTTCCTCACTGACAGCCGTGCGGAAAAACTTTTTCCGCACTGATATGTCAAAAAAAGAAGTTTTACCGCACCGTGCGGGAAAACTCTTTTTCCGCACGCATATCAGTGCGGAAAATCGATTTTTCCGCACGGCTGTAGGAAATAGTTATTTTCCTAACAAGTGCGCAAAGTGTTACTTTTCCGCACGCAAACACAGTTAAACGAACGACGCGAAGCGGAGTTCGGATGAGTGTTTGCGTGCGGAAAAGACACTTTGCGCACGTGTTAGGAACAAAATTTTTCCTACGAGCTTCATATCAGGTAGGTAACAACAAAAATTTAAAAAAAAAAAACGATAATTTGTTCAATAGGCGGTTACACACGGACGTGGATGTCTGAAAACATGTACGCACATACATGAACGCGCAAACAAAAACATAAAGGCGGTTACACACGGACGTGGATGTTTGAAAGCATGTACGCACATACATGAACGCGCCAACAAAAACATCAATGTGTATGCAAAATACCGTCGCGTTTTTGAATGTGGAATCGCTAGAAATTTTGTATGCACACTCGGATTACTGTAGCAAGTATAGCAAGACTGCAGTTTTGTGCGAGCGTCTGTACAAACGCGACATGCACGTTGTTGTTTGCACGTTGATGTATGCACGTATATGTATTAAGCCATCCACGCCCGTGTGTAACCGCCTTAATGTGTATGCAAAATGTCGTTGCGTTTTTGAATGTACAATCGCTAGAAATTTTGTATGCACACTCGAAACACTGTAGCCAGAATAGCAAGAATACAGTTTTGATAGTTTTGTGCGAGCGTCTGTACAAAGGCGTCATGCATGTTTTTGTTTGCACGTTGATGTATACGCGTATATGTATCAAGCCATCAACGCGCCGTGTGTAACCGCCTAATTATTTTCAATTAACCTGAAGCGAACCTATTTATTCATCAAGAAATTACATAACAAAAAAAAAAAGAACAGAAAATTGAAATCCTCGTCAGAGCTGTTCATCTTAAAGCGTTTAAATTTGATGCGAAAGAAATTCTTGCATGTAAATGGAGAACACAAATCTGACAATGTGTCAAAGTTAATTATAGGTATTCAGTGTTTGTATAGATATTGGCTGATATAGAAACAGGAAAAATTTGTCATCATGTGTCAAAGTCGACAGGTGCAGTTATTGTTGCTTGATAATTATTTTTACTTTTCGGCACTCAGTGCGGATAAGGCCCGTATCCGCACTGAGTGCGGAAAAGTGTAACTTTGAGAACAGAAATGCGCGCGGAAAAGTACTACTTTGCGCACGCTCGTAGGAAAAATTATTTTCACGAATTATTCGGTAGCTTTGTAAGATTGTGCACACCTTGAAATATTTATGACACTTTATATTTACTCCTATGTTCCTAGCAATAAGTATTCCTTTATTTTTTGCACACTATATGCTTAGTAGTTTTATCTACTTTCCTGTAGAACTTTCATTCCATCTCATTATTAAGTCCGATTTTGTGCAGGCAGTGGCGGACTGGCTAGGTCGGCAGGTCGGCAAATGCCGACCTGGCTCCCATTTCTAGAAGCCCTCATGTATGCAATCGCATATAAAAATGTGCTTTAAAAATAGTCGGTACGTCTCTGTTTTCCAGATTGTCCACCAAAGTCTGGCAACGTGAGAACGCGGAATCGTTGTGTTCAAATGTCCACTATCTCGCAACGGCTCTAGGGAGTTGAACTCCTTGGAGCGATTCCACTTTCATCAATCAGTACTTAGGCCATTCGGAATGTTCGGCAAAGCTCTTGAGTTTCTCCCACACAAGATAGTAGGTCACAGAACCGAACGGCGACTCGTCTCGTTCAAACGACTACTCTCAGAGTACTACTCTAGCAACAGAGAATGCTAGGTGTTACCTAGTGAAAGGTTTTGTCCTGACCAGTTAAGCAGAACAGCAGGGCCATTGCATCGCCACTTTCCCACAATTCTGAGCAACGGGGCGAACTCTGGCTCCATAAAGCTGGGAGTGTGTGACAACCAAAATCCGTACCATGTCTTGGAAGGGGATTCATGACCCCGAACACAATGAATACGGAGCATAAAGACTACATGAAAGCACTGGTAAAATCTGGCGCATAGGTCCCAATCCCAACTTCTGGGCAAGGGGGCAAGCAATAGATACTGATATATAGTGGGCTTAGCTGACGGCGATTCGTCAAACGTTGCTTTATTGCAGACACGAGGAACTCAGGGGAGACGGGGAGCCAACGCTAGACTCAAAGTGGAACAGTAGCCAAATCCTTGTAACCGGTCATGTGGTGCATCGCTCTTAAGCAGGGTGGTATGCGTAACCACGCCCAACGGAATGGACAGCTTGTGTTTCTGTGCACGTTACATTCATTTCGCCCAAGTAGTGGGGACCATCACACTCCAGAGGCGCCGACTTTTAAGAATCCTCATGAGTGCAGGATAACAACTTTATAAAGGGAGGTGGAAGCCCGCCAGAGGCGAAATGTTGTTTCTAGGAGTGTGCGGAAAGTGCTTTTTTCTGCAAGCATTTTAGGCCATGAAATTATCACTTTTTCGCACCAGTGCGGAAAAGTGAAATAAATATGCAATGTTAAGTCCCCTGGTTCTTTCATGTCCTAAAATATGCGTGCGAAAAAAGTACTGTTCCGCACGGGCGTAAAAAATAACCTTCGCGGAAAGTCTCTTTTCCTTATTCAATTGCTAGGCACTACGCACACGCCCTAAGCACAGTTTATACCGTACCGATACAGTTGTACAACTCTCCATATTTTTTGAGGCCAAATTCTCCAACCAATAGGAGCATTTTGAGCCATATATTGCGCATGCGCTCAATGAGTGAACAAATCTCTCAAATTGAAAAAGCAGTTCGGCATACAGGGTGTCCCACGGTGGATGGCGTATTAGACGTTAAAGGAGAACTAAAAAGCGGATCATTTTGAAAATTTGGCAACCGGGATAGACAACCATAATCTACACTTTAAAAATATTTTTGTTTATGCGGTGTTGCCGCTTCTACTTTAAACTAGTGGCAACATCGCTATTTTAAATGGAACACCCTGTATGTGATTGCATATTTGGATTCTACGTTAAATTCTGAAAAGAATTTATGTGATATACCCTATACCTAAGTTCAACTGTTTTGAAAATATTGACAGTTGAAAATTGACTTTTTGCAAGTTTGACAGGCTGTAAAACCTAAACGGTTAATTTTAGAGGAAAACCGATTTTACATTCCTGTCTTAGATTTTCATAAACTATCATTTGACACCAACTTTGAACTTAACCGGAGATTAAATTTAACTGGAATTTTTAATCATGGATTTAATTCAAAATTGGTGTCAAATGATAGTTTATAAAAATCTAAGATAGGAATGTAAAATCGGTTTTCCTCTAAAATTAACCGTTCAGGTTTTACAGCCTGTCAAAGTTGCAAAAAGTCAAGTTTCAATTGTCAATATTTCCACGGCCCAGGATTCGTTGTTTCCGATCAATAATGCGCAAGCGCGAAATATAGGGACATAGAATTTGGCTTCAAAAAAATCAATGGTTTGTCAACGGAGTTGAACAACTGTATCGGTACGGTATAAACTGTGCCCTAAGTGACGTTTTGTTTTATTTTTGCTGCCTCTGGCAACTGTCAGACTGTCACTGTCAACTAATGAGCTATGCGCACGGCGAAGGATTTATTATAAAAGATCCGATGCATCCAAAAGATTATATCGATATTTTTTTCGATACATCGAATGTAAAATATCGATTAAAATATTTCGATATAATTGAGTAATATTTCAATATTTACAAAACATCAATATATCTTTGCCTTCCCTACTCACCCGCAAAACTAAATGATATGGCATACGGCGCAAGCGCCGGACTTTCCGTTGTGCGCGGGACAGTTCCGATTATTATCAAAGAATTGATATGGAAAATAGCAATAGCAACATAAAAGGCAATATTTCGCGAGGATAATCAAACATAATCTGATTATATGCTCAGATGTGATGTGTGAATTGTGTCATACTCTCCCAACTCCCTCCCTTCCCAACCAATTCTGGGCCTGTGAGTGACGTCGTTATCAGCATCTCATAGTGATGACGTCACCCGCAGACCTCGATGGAATGCTTGCCATTCAGGCTGTGCTAGTGAGTTAATTTTTTCATCGATTTCAAATGTAAATAGAAAAGATGCTTTTCAGTCTGTTCTCACAGAAGTTAAGTGGTCTTGATCCTCGAGTATCCGAGAATTTGATAGTGGGGGAGTCAGGGGAGTATGACAAAATTGATACATAACATCTGAGTATAATCGAGTACCTATGCTTGGTTATCTTCGCGAAAAATTGCCTATGTAATAAAGCATAGAACTGACCACATAACGAAAGGACATAATACTAATACCACTTGTATAGTATAATTCCTATAAGTTGTATAAATTTAAATTACATGATACTGATGCTACCACACGGAACGGAATGACCAATAAATACGTTTGTATTGCCGCAATCCCTACGAGATCTCCCAAGGGTGCTACGCACCCATGAGAGGTTACTCTTGGGTGCACCTGCCCCAATGCCCTTATGTATAGTAATCAACTTAAAATGTATTTTTTTTTATAATAATTCACCTATACATTCATTGTTTAAATTCCTCTAAATAAAATGAACGAAAAAATGTTATTTAAAGGTATGTAATAATAAATAACTATTGTGCATGTAAATTCAATTTCCTCTACATTTTCGGTGTCAGATTTATATCCGAAAATAACTTCTATTTTCACTGTATGTTTTTTTTTAGATATATGTAGGTAACATAATTGTAGGTAGATACTCTATATTTATTTCATTTATTAACGCTTTCAACCATACATAGAATGAGCATGTGCTCAATTTACGACAGAACTTTAGTCTTTTATTTGTTAAAAAATTATAAATTCTATACGGGGTGTCATGTACATTTCTCATGCCAAATACAGCTATCCTGCATATGAAACGGATAGTTTATTCACATTTCTTGTTGCTGATGGCAAAACTCCATATGTTTACGAAATAGTTTAACTTGTCTATGAGAAGGGAGAATTTAATTAATGCTATTATCTATTATAGAAGACATGTAGAAAAACTATACGTTTTGATTTGGATTTTTGATGAATTATATCTCTATTAGGTATCTGAATTTTTCAATTTTCACGAGGTCCTTTTCTCAAAGATTTTTTTTGGCTTAACATTTATAAATCATCATGAATCATTTTGAGTTAAATTTTGGACATCCTTGCTCACCTCAGTTTCTCAAAATATCATAGTTGGAAGACTTTCAAGACAGGCTTGAGAGAAAAAATTGTTGTTTATAACTATAAGTTAAACTAAAAAGAAACTTACTTGCCATGGCCAAGCACCCTTCGCGCTTTGTTTTCCGTTGATAATCCGACCCACTGCGCCAGCTCGGGGTTGTCGGGACCTTCTGAAACTTCTGCCACACTCTAGAAAAATAACAAATGGTCATTGTATGATGTTGTTACTGATCCAAAAATAAGGAATAATAAAGGAAGTTCATATAAATAGAGGTTTCGATTTGTTTTGCGTTTACTTTCCAATTAGATTTCTAAGCCTAAACCATTTTTAAATGAATATTCTACATATTCGATTAACACATTATTATCTAACTTATCTATTATTTCCACGATAGTGAAAGTACCACGCGTCGCCAAACTTCTTAGTCACACATGAATACTTTTTTTTAATGACATCAAATTAATTAAAATTGTTGCATTAACTATCAATTAATGAAATTAATGCTAATAGCTATAAATTAGTACCCAATTACTTTGTTTATGTCGTAAAAAATTCACTTTCAATAAGTAAGTACTACAAATCATCTGGAAAACAGATGCCATTTTGTCAAAAACGATAATCAAAGTAGAACAATATCATTACTCGTTGCTGGAAGCATCAAACCATTCTAATAACGATAATAAACCTAATAATGTACTGGGCGATGTGCAGATAAATTTTATTCAAAACTATAATAATTGTGCCTCACGGGAGTATACATTATAATGTAGCTAGAAGTTTAATCTTCTAATGGATTTTGCCTACAGATATCATTAAAATAGAACAGATTTTGATCTATGTCATCATATTGAAACTAGGTATGAAAGGAAAATCGCAACAAGTGTAACAAAGCTATAATATTTCTTCACCAAATTACTAAAGTTCTTCACGAATAATCCCACATTGAAAATGAATTCACAAATTTGATCACTTCACCAAAACAATTTACCTTCCTGATGAGCTAACACCACAGCTGATCGAAACTGGTCCACCAGTACCATCGAAAGTAACAGTAGCTGCATCGAAGGTCGGCCGCACATAATAACTACGTTAAATAAATACGCATTTGGCCATGGCGCTCGCGAGATTACGGTACCGTTACCCCGGGTACTATCGAAGAGGTGATTGAGAGAGAGAGTGAAAACTAAAGTATCCGTAATAATAATAATAAATTTGTAGTGGTAGTAGGTACTCAGCTGGGTACTTCTAGTAGGCGATATACGATGCAAATGAAAGTGCCACTACTGCACGATTTGTCGGTCCATTGTTCAGGATCGTTTCTTTTTCGACCGATTGATGTTGGGTTTGTGAGAGTGGGCACTATCGTTTAGAAATGAGTGTAGAGCTACTTTTGGAGAGATAATATATAGTTTTTGAAACTGAAGGAATCTTCAGTTTATGTATTAGGGAGCCATTCAGAAAACCTCTCCATGTGAGATGAATCGATTCCAATACCAAGACAAATGAAATCACCTTTGGACTGGAGCGAAAGATGTCTCACAAAGAAATGGCTCTGGGTGTATTCCGAGACATCGAAGGGACATTCAATAACATCTCCTTCGGCTTTATAAACAATATTGCAGGAAGCTTTGGCATAGGGAGCACCATTGTCAAATTGATCTGGTGTCAAGCTCGGTTGGTGTGTACTATCGTCCTTGCTGTGGTGCCTAGTGCTGGATGGGCTGGTCCGCATACTCTGAACGAGGAAGGCGTGTACACTGAATTTTTCGCATCGTCGTGCGCAGTACCATTAAGGGGATCATGTAAAGAGCTCTTAGCTGGTTGTAATAATCACGAGCTTTCGGTAAATCTGGACAAGACCCTTGGATCGAGACTTGCTCCATTCGATTCGGTGAAATATCTAGGAGTCATCATGCACTCCAAGCTGATCTAGAACGTCCACAAGGTCATCTAGAGGGCGACTGCTAGCCTTTGGGCCTGTAGAAGATCCATCGGGCGCACCCGGGGTTTATAACCCCACATAGTCCACTGGCTTTACACAGCAGTGATAAGGCCAATGATCACGTGCGGCAGCTCAGTTTGGGATATGCAAGGGGCTGGACCAGTGGCGCAGAGAAAAATAGAAAAATAACAAAGTAGACGAGAGTTGTAAACTACTCATATCAGAAAAAGTTTAAAGGAAAGCGAATCTGTGTTTTTTCCTATATTTTTTTTCTGCATGGTCCCCCCAGACAAAATTTCTGGCTGCGTCACTGGCCTGGACTCCCACCCAGACTTCCTCAATAAGAGGCTCATCTGATATATAGACGGTGGTGCGAAGGTTTATGCATATGGGGAGAGACCTGTGGCGAGAATCAGTCTTGCACTATGAGATCTACGTCATACAGATGTGTGTTGAAAGATCACACCAGAAGTCCGACTAATGCAACAATGGTTGTTGACATAAGAGTCGCTGTTTGGGAATCAACCCACTGAGTAGTGGACCCGGCATTCCCGTGCCAGTCCTTGACGCGTTTCGTCCTTGTTAGGACTCATCAGAAAAATATAGGCTGAAGCTCTCTGTCCAAGCAAAATTGAACTTCGCTGACCAGTCAGAAACAACTACTCTGTGGGCAAATTTCCTACCGGCGTTGAATTACACTGATTGGTCTGAATTGTTTCTGACTGGTCAACGAAGTGCAACAATGGTTATTATAGGGTCTGTTTCTGCAGAAATCACAAACCAGTTAGAGTGAATTTTATTGGTTTAAACTAGTTTTCTGACTGTTTCTGACTGTTTTGAACCAATGCGCTCTGACTGGTTTGCGATTTTTGCAGAAACAGACCTATTGGGTTTTTACCAGTTTTTTGTTCTAACGTTGTCCAAAAAAAAAAAAAAAATTGTCAAATAATTTGATCCACTTCTCTTATCTTTTTCGAATCAAAACAACCCGCAGTAATTACAAACAACATATGGCGACCGTAGACAAATTGAAGATAGAGAGGAAAATATCACAACAATTATTCGACGGAGGTCAAGATTTGGACGAAGAGTTGAACTGCCAAAACAAGAAGAGATCGCGAAGCTCCTGAAGGTTTTAGAAAATATGAAGAGAACAATGTGGTTTATGAGAAAAATTATAGAAGTTTACCCAGGACAAGATCAAGTGATTAGAGTTGGGAAAGTAAAAACGTCTAATGAAGTCTGAGAAGAAGAATAAGCTGGATGTTTAGCACCTGAAACCGAAAAAACCTAGAACAAAATGAAATTGGTGTGCTATTCATGCTTTGACACCCCAAACCTTTAAAATGAACCTCAAAGAGAATCAACAATCTTAAGAAATCATTAAACATTTTAAGCCTACTGATCCAACCAACAAAAAGAAGTACGAGGGAGATAAGGAAACCCCTGAGTACCCCAAACAGAAGTTTTTTAAAAGTAAGGTTGCTTCCTGCCTGGTGAAAACCAAGATGAACTTGTCCAACAACCTGTTCTAAGACGAATGGCTGGATCAAACTGCAAACAGGCAAAAAGCCTCCTAAAATTATACAGCAGATAATTAAAGCACGGTCTACACGCAACGATATATCGTCAGATTTGCATGCGCCAATAAATCCTACAGATAAATCCGAGGATAAATCGTTACTTAACTCAGTGCGGCCACATTATAACGACTTAATTATAGAAAGCTCGAATTTTCCTCTAGTAGCTCTAGTTAAGTAAGATTATATAAAATAATCATGGGAAAAGTGTTATTGTGGAGTATTTTGTTGTTTTGTTCAAATTTTAAAAGAAAAAACGAAATTAGGAAACGTTTAAATAAAACTAGACGTTCTAGGTGGTCTAGAGCATGGTTATTGAAACGAAGTTTATTTTCTTATGTTCGGTTACTTGAAGAATTGCAAGGTGATCCCGACAAACCCACACACGTTACGTCTTGAATGCGAAAATCTCCCAAATCTATGCTTTCCGACTCAAACTTCCAACTTTGACCTCCGACTTTGCACAGTTCTAAAATTTGCTCAAATCTGTCATCTACACGCTACGATTTGTCTGTAAAGATTTACTTGCGCATGCAAATCGTACGAAATATCGTTGTGTGTAGACGGTACTTAAGAGCTATCATAGGCGAGGCGTTCTGACGAGGTACTGGGTATGGTCAGATACTACCTGGGATAGCAAAATGTTCCAGATGCTCGTCTACGTGCTGCCTGTAAAGGCTCCCTTTTCAAATCAATCAATCAAGCACCATTGTAGAAAAGTTAGGTCAAATACCAGAAAATGCAGGCACAGAAGATCGTTTTAGAAGTTTCAAGCAAAGAGAACGCTGAGCAACTCCTTAAGGATAGTTATCTAAGATTCAGTATGTAATATCATAACTTCTAACTTCACTGCCTTAAATCTTAACTCAAATAGTTTGTGATGTAGGTAAATCTTCTTCGCTCTCTGCAAAACTAAATCATTGCATCATCATCCTTTTGCTGATCTTCTTTCTTTTAGTATTTGTTCAATGTAAAAGTCTTTATTTGCTCAAAAAATAGAAAATAAAACGAGCATCCTACTCATCGAGAATGAACCGACAAGCTGCAAAATATCATTGCTTGATTTATTGTTCCAGTGCAACCAGTTTACCATATTAAGTGAGAGCTAGTTACTCTTCAACTTGCATGAGTTATTGTTTCGATGATTTTATTTCAATTCGAATTTGCATTTAGTTTCTCTTGCAATTTCTGTGAGATAATATAGGCGCCTTCAAGTATTCGAAAAATATGCGTTTTCTGATTAAATTATTTCCTAGTATATCAAGCTGGCATACTAACTAAGAGTTGCACTTAATTTAGTCCACGTAGCACCTCAGAAACCATTGAATCTTGAGTTTTTTTTTTTGCACTTAATCGTAATTAAAATTTAGTTTAGTAGGTTTCATCTTAGGGATTTTTCATGAACGAATTGTTTCTTAGAACAAAAGCTCGACTAAAAGCCTTCTTTGAGAATCTACTTAAATTTTATACATGAGGCATTTTTAGCATTAAAAGTTTAGGAAACAAAAAAGTTTTCCTACTTTTTCTTCAAAGTGATTTTAAAAAAATTCAGGAAACTGAATTATTCTCACGTCGAAATTATAAATTTGTTTGCGAAATTGATAAACTCTTCTGCTTTCATGCCATTAACTTTTACACCCACCTTTTATAGGCGATTCATTTCCAAGTAACTCGATACTATTTGTATTGGGCTTTTTTTTGCTTGATTCAGTTTGATAGTAATTGGAAGCTCACTAAACTTGCGATGTTTTATAAATTCACCTCTTGAAGGCATCTGTTTAAATAAACAAGAAGGCGACTGTGGGTTTAATAGCCCAATTAATGAACTATATATTTACTTATCTTAAAGTGGAAAAGTTACTTAGCTTCTAAAAAACTGGCGGTAGCTGATTTCTACTTCACAAATTCTTTCATTTAATTAAATTTCAAAGTTTGTCGGAAGAGGAAAAGTAAATATTCCTGAATATTTGCTGACGTTTTGATATTTATTATCAAAACTCTCCTCAGGAATACAAATGAGAATGGAAAGTCTCAAATCAACAAAATGAATATCTTTTGAAAAGCATAAAGTTAATTAACAAGGAAAGGTAGTTATTTGAATTATTAAAAGCAGCATAAACATCTGAATAGAATTGAGTTTGCCTTATCTTGTAAAATGGTTCTGCTTTAAGAGCTCACATTCTAAAAAACTCAAATATTGAAGAAGCTTTTTTTTTTTTTCATAGTGGAGAGAGACGTGACTTAAACCATCGGTGGTAGCTGAACAACTTCAACTCGCTTCACCCATTATATTTAATTTAATTTAATTTAAAAAAAGTTCAAATCCTGTCAGCATGCATGAACTTTAAGTAAATGGGGAAATTCTAAACTTATAATCGACCCCAAAGAACGTTAGAACTTCGACTGTTCCGCCTACCTTCTGTTAAATTTTCGTCGTATGCACGAACCTGAGAACAAACAAGAAGACAATTCTCCTCGATGTTGATCGAACTCTCTTCTAATTTTCCTGCACACTTCGAGCTTTAATTGGCTCCTTATTTGGCACCCTGAAGGAGCTTTAATTAGAGGCTTTGCAGATTTTATAGATTAGTGCTTAAGATTGTCATTACTAGATAATGTGGAAAGTATGTCGAACTTTTTGTTTTGAGTTGCTTAGGGGTTTTTGAGGTTGAGCTTTAAACCCTCATAGATTTGTAATAAGGTTTAATAATTTCCAATTTTTATTTCACTCGCTAATTAATCGAAACACAATAGTATATTACATACAAAGTGTTTATTATTGTCGAGAGATACTATGGTTGTCCGAGGTGCGAAGCGCCGAGGTAAACCAATTCTCGGGACAATCTATGTGAAAACTTTCTACCGAAATATGTATGGTCATTTTGTATGCTATTTTATTTTGAACCATCAATTATTGATAAAAATAAGGTAAAAATATGACAATAAGGAAACGACTGACCCTTCTGACACCGATATTGACATCTTATGAAATGCCAACAATACAAACACATGTGACATCTACTTCTAAATACAAACATTGCATCTGAGCTGCTTTCGGGTGCCACCTTTTAAGCGCTCCCGAGTTAGTCAAAAGTACTCCAGAGTCCAGTTAGAGTTTATTTTACATATAACATAACTATACTATTTCCATGTTAATGAGAAGGAAGGAGATATTTTCAGCTTTTCGATAGAAAAATAATATACGGGGTGTTGTATTTGAAAAACTCAATTAAAATGGACTTTAAAATTGACGTGTTTAGACAAATATATTGGACACCCTGTATACTTAAATCGAAAAATGAAGATAATGTAGGAGCAACTAGGCTAACAGATTACATGTAAATTTTCAAGAGAAATTAATGTACAGTGGCGGAAATATGACAATATTAAAAAAGTAAGTATTGGTCTATTTTTGACTTCGAAAAATCATAACTTGGCAACGCTGCATTCAACCCAAATACGATTTTCAAATTGAATACGGAGCACATAGAGGCTTCATCTGCCACATAAAAACATTTATGGTATTCTTTTTTTAAATAGAATACTATAAAATTTGTAATTACTCTTTTTTTGAGACACCCTGTATACTTGAAAATAATTTTGGGTTATAGCAGAGATGAAATGCTAAAACTTTTATACAGAACATTTCTCCATAAGTTTAACGGTTTGGCTACTATTGACCGAGGCGCGCTTGTTGGACTACCCTGTATAATTCTAAAATATTGTCAAAATACCAAGAAAAATTGTTAAATTGAATACTTAGGGATAAAAGAGTTTATTTTTTTCTCACGACGCACTACATTCAGTCACAGCTGGCAACAGCGCAATCAAAAATTTAATCCAGCGGCCACCGGAACAGCTGTTCGTGCTTTGCCGATGGAGTCTTCTTAAATTTGATTGGTAGAAGATGCTCATATCCCTTTATACGTCATCGTTTGGCGCGTTTTAAGGATTTTAAATGTTTCCACTTTGGAAGTGTCTTTAGAAAACCCATTTAAGCTCGTATTTCATTACGTATTTAAATTTTCGTGAAAGAGCCCATTTAATTTAAAATTAGCTTTTTGCCTTTTCTTGAAATGTACAGGGTGCTTTTTTATATATTGACACCCCACCTAGACCCTTTATTTTTACAGGTAGATGAAAGGTGTAAATACAAAAGTTGTACATACAGTATTGACTAATAAGGATAATAGCTGTAGGTGGGGTGTCAAGAAATTAAAAAAGCACCCTGTACAAATAAGTGAATTATTGCGGAACTTATGTTTGGACCTCTGCGGGACGAGCGCAGCGAGTTCCGCAGCCATCTACTCACCAATATACTGTTGAATTTTTCAAATAAGATACTCACTTGAAAAGTGTAGTTTTTGAACTAATGAGAAAATTTCACAACTGAGTGAATCAGGGTAGTACCTATTGTACTTGAACAATATATTGGTGAATAGATATGTTGGTACTTGAATAACGTGTCATAATATATTACTAGTTTGGAAAAGTAATATTACTAATTTCTGTTAAAAGGCAAATTGACAAAAAGTGAATAATCTTACAAATTCTGACTTTATATAATAAGTTATTGTTCAAGTACAAATAAGTGGATTGTTGCGGAACTTATGGGTGGACCTCGCTGCGCTCGTCCCGCAGCCATCTCCTCAATAATACACTGTTGAATTGTTCAAGTAAGACATTCACCTGAAACGTATAGTTTTTAAACTAATGAAAATAACTCACATTTGAGTGAGTCAGATAAGTATCGTAATTAAACAACATATTGATGAATAGATGACTGCGGAACTCGCTGCGCTCGTCCCGCAGAGGTCCACCCATAAGTTCCGCAACAATTCACTTATTTACTTAAATAACTTGTCACATTATGTTACTAGTTTGGTAAAGTAACATTACTAGGTAATTCCTGTTAAAAGGCAAATTGACAAAAAGTGGATAATCTCAAAAATGCTGACTTTATATTATAAGTTAATGTTCAAGTACAGGGTTTTTTTATATATGTTGACACCCCACTGTGAAAATATATACTAATTTAATTTGAAACTTACTTGTTTTATTGGTTCACCTATGTCAGGATTTGGTTCAGTTATGTGCCATATTGATTTCCTTTTCAGAATTACCAATTACCGTTTGCTGATTATTTTCTAGGAGTAAATCTTTCTTCAGCTGAAATATACATAATGACGAAGATTTTAACCTTAACTTAATGTCAAACTGATAACTGATACCAAGTAAGTAAGCGAAATGTGATAAATGCAACTTGCATGCGCAATTCCTCAGAGCTCTAGATTTCGGGACTGTTTATTTTGGCGATACCGTATTTGCAATAAAAATAGTTCTCTGATTATGTGAATAAAAATGAAGAGCAAGAAACCTGAATTGCGACTATTTTTGAATCTACACCAAAATTGGGTGCCAGTGATTTGACGCTCTATGGAAAATATTTTTTAAATATTTGGTGATTTCAATATGACTTACTATTTAAGTCAACGAGAAATCTGGCGAGCTGCAATTCCGTCTTTTGAACTCGTATTTTCCTAATTCATTAATCGCCTATTTTGAGAACTCTTCTTGATTCAATAACATTCAAATATTGGTGTCCAAATGATCATAGTCATAGATCATAGTATCAATTTATATTAACTGATTGTCAAGTACCAGGTTCCGGAATTATTTAAACCATTTAGTTTTGAAGTATCTAGCCACATCCATCAATTTAATTGGATTGCAAGTGGAGTTTCTTGTTTATAAATAATAATTATTGATGCTATTCATCTAAATTGAAATATTGTCATCTATGGCAACATTAATATTAGTTTTGGTATTTATTGGAAGGGTGGACATCGGAGTGTTGTTGTTTCGCTGGTGTTTTGTCACACAATGTAAATGCCAGCAGCTACTGCGTTTCACCTCAGCTCCATAACCATGAACATCGTCCTATTTTTCTAACAGCCTCTTGACCAGAATAAATATATTATTTCATCTTAAAATATGCATTGACAGTCAAACCATCTTTGAAAAGACAATATTAAAAGTCCAAACTCGAAAACTTCTCTTTACATAAAACGAAACGAAACAAACTCGATACCTACTTTTTGCAATAAATTTCCATACTAAATTGGGTAGGTAAGGCCAATCCAATAAAATTTAAGATCCACACAAAAAAAAAATGGATGGGCCTTATTTATCATCTTTAAGGAGCTTTTTTTGCTAAGACGGTGTAAATTTTATAGCTCTCGATAGTCCAGACCGCTTTTCGTAATGGATAAAAGACAAAATGAGCTTTGTTGGGTCGGATATTGATGTTAATTAAATTTAATTGCGTTGAAATTGAATATGTGTTAATGACGAAGAAATATTTGGTGAAGTGAGAGGAATTGATCAGATAAAATTTGCTTCAACAACTCGTATTTTACAGTGCCTAGTGCAATGAGAAACAACTGGATGGTATCAAAAGATTCAAGAGATCATCTATGAAGAGAAAAGCTGAAGCTTTCGTAGATAGTTCAGATCAGAAAGATGCGAATAATGTGAATCTGAAGGACAAGTTGGATCAAAGAATCAGAAACCTCAGAGAGCCCTGATTCAATTTCCTACAAAATGATAAAAGAGATACCATTTCTGTGCCAAAAGAAACTGAAGAGACCATACGTTTTTTAAGAGTTGTAGCTTGTAGTTTTTCTCGGATAATATATATTTCGAAGATCAAAGGGCTAATGTTAGGGACTAGGGCTACAAAATAAAACAAAACTCTAGGCACAAATATGCGTTTCTTAATAGATATATTTTGGAGTTATATTTTATGTATAATACATCAGTTGTAACACCCAGTATGCCAGTATGTAGAAGTAGAGCATTTCTAATATTTTTTAACAGTAATTCTATAAGATAAGTAATCATAATTTCACTATGAATATTATAAGCTATATTCTTGACAATTTTTTCTTCGTGACAAATCATTTTTTATAAAGGTGATGATACAAAATTAAACAAACTTAAAGAGTAGGTATTTTGCAAAATAGGATTCACTAATTGCCTGTTTGAGTTGAACAAAAATAGAGGAATGTCTTTTAACATGTTTCTACTAACCTACATTATAAGATTTTTATTTTGCAAAATATTCTCTAGGTTCCCAAACATTCAATTACTAACATAAACCAGATGAATTTGTCCAATAAGAGCCTGATAAAGTTAAGAGAAAAATATGACAGATGCATGTTCTTTTATTAGTAATAAAACATAACTATGTACCTAAGAAAAAAAATCAATTATCAATAGCAGTATTAGGAGGAAAATCATGGACAAATTTATCCCAATTCCCAAAAAATCTATGTTAATTATATTTATGATGAATTCCCAATAATGCTATTGATTAATCTAAAATATGAAACCATCAAACTAAAGCATGATTGTCTACTGAAATACTGGAATAAGATTTAAATGGAAATAGCAGAATTTTAGTAGTGGCTTGGTAAACTACCTCATCTTCTTAAGGGCAACCAATCGTGATCGTTTCCATCTTCATCAGTTCGAAACTGAAACAAAAAAGAAATATTATTGTAGGTAGGTTGTAAAATCGTTTAATTTGGAGCAGCTCGTCATTAAATAGCCAAAACGAAAGTGGTAATATCAAAATGGAAATGGAAATTCGCTAATTGCTGGTTTTAAATAACTGATAAATTATGCTATTAGTTTGTTTTTAGTCTGCATAAAATACGTTTTAATTGAATGGTTATGATGGCTCAAATGAAGAAATTTGTCAGCGTATGATTAGAATGTGATTTAGTGGTATGCGTTCCGGGATGTAATCATGCAGAAATTTGATTTATTGGGCACGATACTTACACATGCATTTTCAATAAATGACCACAGTCCACAAGTTCATGAAACTACCTATTTATACATATATTGCCAATAATGTAGACATTCGTGGTTTGGTAAATATTTGATACATTCGACTATTTTTGTAACAATTTGACATTGCTAATGGATTTTGAATCTTCATAAAGCAACATCAATACAAAATAAATATATTTGTATTTTGTGGGGTCTTTCTGAAAATAAAGGCTTTGTTGATTTTTAATTTTTGTGTGAATATTTTGTTTCAAATAGAACAAATGTGTATAAAACATAAAACGATTCAATCCAATGTGAACCTACTTCAAAATATTCAAATAATTTCTTCATTGAGGAGGCAAGTTACTAGTTACAAATCGGAATAGAGGGGAATAATATTTGCGGTATACTTCACAATTGGGCCACCCTGCAAGTTAAGAAATGCCATGTCATAGATATGTCATGTCGTGTGGTCTTTAAAATAAACCTAGTCGGTTTATATAATAGTCTTTTTAGGCGACTGTCACAAAAAGATTAGTTTTACGGATTCAATATCATCCCTAAAGTATATCTTTTTTGGCCGCATTTACTTTACGGCCGCATTCACTTCACGGCCGCATTTACTTTATTACTTTACGGCCGCTTTCACTTCATGGCCGCTTTTACTTCACGGCCGCTTTTACTTTACGGTCGCTACTTTGGTGAAAATAAACAATTTTTTCTATAATCACACTCTCTTTATCGTAGTTTTTGTTATTAATAATTGTGTATCTACCTATCTTTGCTGGATTATTTATTTGATCAATAAAGTTTAAAGCTACTGTTGAATTTTATTCTTTTTTCAAGAACAAACACTCGCCTAAAAAATTTTGTGTGCACCTCGGCCGAATTTTACGGCCTTGGTACACAAATAACTATTGTAGTCTGTTTTCTGGCCTTCTGCGTTCAGTTAACATTTCAATGTTTCATTGTTAAAACATTAAATAAATACATAGCATATTTTGGCGACGAGTTAGTGACTTCGAATCCATTTTACATCAGTAGTGTTGTTGCTGTGTGGTGCTTTCAATTTAATTTGTCCAGTGTAAGTACCTATTTATAATGGCAATAATGGGAAACATAGAACCATTATTTAATCCGAAATCTTGTGACTTTGTGAGTTGGCTCGAACGTTTGGACCAGCTGTTTATTTGTAATGAGGTTCCAGATCAGAGAAAAGTAGCAATGTTCATAACTTTGTTGGGTGCTAATACTTATGAAGTGCTTAAGAATCTTTTGGCCCCTGATTCACCCAGCAACAAAGATTTCGAGTCTGTAAAAACGACTTTGAGAAACCATTTCAGTCCAGTAACAATTATTATTGCTGAAAGATTTAAATTTTATAAGTGTACTCAAGATCCAGCTGAGCCAGTGTCATCTTTTGTGGTGAAATTGAAAAATGCTGCAAAGTAATGCTCATTTAATACTTTTCTAGATGATGCCTTAAGAGATCGTTTTGTATGTGGTTTGGCATCACCTTCTTATCAAAAAAAAAAATATTAACTGAAAAAAACTTGACATTTAGGTCAGCTGTGGAATTAGCTTTAAGTTTCGAGCTAGCAGATGCTCAAACCCAATTATTTCAACCAGGTAGTAGTATCCAGGGCGTTAGTGCAGTTTTTACAAAGAAAAAATATGTTGGTCAAGGTGCTGATTCTAGGAAGTTGGTGAGAAATTTTAGGCCTGTGAGTCAGAAGTGTTTTCTTTGTGAAACAGCTCATGAGCCATCTACATGCCATGCTATGGAATTGTTTTTCTTGTGGGAAAAAAGGGCACGTTTCGACAATGTGCCGAGCAAAAAGTCTATATAACTTAGATGAACCAGAGGCGTTGGAGACTGCTCCGGGTGCCTCTAAATATGTTGAGCAGTACGACTCGGATGATGTTCTGGCACGATTGGCAGCTTTGACTAGGCCAAATGATGCAAAAAAAATTAGCCAGCAACTGAATGGTAAGATTATTGTTATGGAAATTGATTCAGGTGCATCAAGGTCAGTGATTTCCAATGAACTTTTTCAAAAATTGTTTAGGGGTCTAGTTCTAAAACCTGGAAGTTGTAAGTTAAGTGTTGTGACAGGTAAATCAGTTTCAGTAGTGGGAGAAATGTTTGTCAGTGTTTGTTTCAATAATTAGAAGTATGAATTACCCTTATTAGTCATAAAAACTGAGAAAAATTTCACACCACTGCTGGGACGTGACTGATTAGATATAATGAGTCCAATGTGGAGAAATAATATTTTTATTGATACTGTGTCAAACTTTTCTGAACGTGAAAATACTGATAAAAGCCAAGCATTTTCTCATTTTGCAGCAAAGTTTCCATCAGTATTTTCAAGTTCTACTAAGGAACCCATAAAGGTTAAGGTTAAATTGAAACTCAAAGAATATACTACTCCTATTTTCCGGATACCTTACAATGTTCCATTTGCTTTACAAGATAAATTAAAACTTAAGCTTGATGAGATGGTTGATGATGGTATTTTGGTTCCGGTAAGTACCAGTGATTGGGCGCGTCGTATTGTAATTGTACTAAAAAAAAAATGGGGATATCAGGGTCTGCGTGGATTTTAAGGTGACCTTAAACCAAGTGTTGCGTCAAGATATTTATCCTATCCCAAATATAAATGACCTTTTAGCAAAATTGAATCGGGGTTCTGTATTTTGTATCCTCAATCTATCAACAATTGTCTGTAGATACCTCTTCTCAGGAATTTTTGACCATTAACACGAATTTTGGGTTGTATAGAGATACTCGGCTAACTTACCTGTGCCCCAGCAATTTTTCAAATGACTATGGATAAAATTTCAAGTGGTTTGAATGGTCTGATTTGTTACTTGGATGACACTTTGGTCATGGGTAAAAATTTTGCTGTCTCTTACAAAAATGTGTCAGGTGGTTTCTTGAATGGCAGGGTATAATGTGAAAGTGAACATATCAAAATGTAGATTTTTTTCTGATTCTGCAGAGTACTTGGGGCATAGGATTGACGCCGAAGGCATACATCCAACATCTGAAAAAGTTCAAGCAATTTTGAATGCTCCTGACCCAAAAAACTTAATTGAGCTGAGAGAATTTTTGGGTTTATAAATTTTTTATAATAAATTTCTTCCTATGTTGTCATCGGTCTTGAAACACTTATACCATTTATTAGAAAAGGGGGTGGAATTTAAATGGGATAAAGCTTGTACGGAGGCGTAATAGTAATAGATAATCAAGTGCTTGTTCATTATGATCCGGTGAAACCACTCAAACTAATTTGATTCCAGTTCTTATGGAGTTGGGGCGGTACTGTGTCATACCATAAATAGTTTTGATAGACCCATATGGTTTATTTCTGGTACTCTCTCTGAAGCAGAAACAAATTAATCTCAGCTAGAAAAAGAAGCACTGGCAATTGTTTTTGCTATAAAACGCTTTCATAGATTCTTGTATGGGCGTGCGTTCACTCTAGTTTCAGATCATCAGTCACTAAAAATGATATTTAACCCATCAAAGTCGTTGCCTACTATTGCAACATCAAGAATAACCCGTTGGGCTGTATTCTTGTCAGCTTATAATTTCAACATTGTGTATAAAAAGGGTTCTCAAATTAGTCATGCTGATGGTTTGTCAAGACTGCCCTTACCTGCTGAGACTGACGTGTTGCATATAAATTCCTTTTTTTTTACTACTAACCTGAGAAATAGTAAATAGTCATTATTCAATCTATTTTTCTAGGAAAAAATTGAATTTCTCTCCCTAGATTAATAATGAAAATAATGAAAAAATACCTAGGTTAATAATGAAAATAACGTCATGACGCAAGGATATTGTCATGTTTTTATTGGTTCAATTTCAATTTCATACGTCAAATAAAAAAAAGAATACAGGTTTCTGTAGGTACATAGGAAGTTATCATAAGCTGTTGATACAGGACACCACTTTCAAGAGGGCGTTCAAAAAAAAAAAATTAGAGCACAGATTACAAATTATTTATTTTCCACTAAGGGCCGGTTTCTCAACAGCAAGTCACCTCCGGGTTAAGCTAACTCCAGGGTAAACATTGCAATTTGACACGTTAACCCTGGAGTTAAAACCAACCCAGGGGTGACTCACTATTGAGAAACCGGCCCTAGCAGTAGTAAAAAAAAATCTATTTCTCGGTAGAGAAAGTCATTATATACCTCACGCATCACTCATTATAAATCTCAACTATTTTAGGGGAGCCCTAACGATAAATATTCCCTAAAATGATATTTTTACATGGAGAAATGTCAGTTTAAGGCATAGGTACCTACCTATTATTAGGGCTTCCCTAAAATAGTTGGTGGAAATGGCCATTCGAAAAATTAAGAAAAAAACGAAAATTCAAGATCCGGGAATAGACAAAATATGAGATGGAAAAATAAAGAATAAATAAATATATATTTAGATAATAATAATATTAATAATAATACCTGAGTAAACATCAAAAAATTTGCAAAAATATGGCGGCAGGGGCGTGGCTAACTTCTATAAGTATTCATATTCAAAATTTGCAAGAATATATTATGGACGGTACCGGATTTCTTTTTCAAAAGGTAGGTGGGCCGGGGCCATTGGAAAAGGTTAAAAAGGAAACAGCCAATCAAATACCTTGACGATACAAAAACCCCGGAACGGGGCGGGGCTCAACTAACC